GTGTATACAGTATACACTTTGGTCAATAATATCAATAGATTTTATAATGATTTAAAACATGAAAAAAAACTGTGACATTCTAACCAAAAAAAATAAGTATTTTTCGGTAGATAAACATTACAAAACCAAATTAGCAAGCAATAATTTGTGTTTTCATTTTAACTTAKGGTGGTAGTTGAGTTTCTGAGATAATGTCATTGGTCTTAAAASTTTAAAAGCGCTCATCAYTACTCTTATTCTCTGCAAGAAAGTYAACAAGTATYGTTCCCAAAACGTTCCTTTAAAATCTAAACTCACAGAAAAAGAGACAGTTTAGTTTGTCGTCATTTTAAAAGTGATGTTTTSTCAAATAGTTATCAACAGTTATCAGCTGTTTTTCAGGCTCAGGTGTGAAAGAACGCGACATAAACCTGATATCACAGCTGATCCAGTGATAACTACTGATAAATCTTATGTTCAAAAACAACTATCTCTTTAACTTGATCAATACAGAACCAAAAAWAATAATAATTGCCATATTTGTTTTGTGAATAAATAAAGAGTATTAAAAGAGAAAGAATAATAATAAAGACGCAACCTCTGGGAGCTATCGGGGATTTGGAGGCAGATGCAAGTTGTCAGGAAGAGGAGGATGAGGAGGAAGAGGCAGTTTGGTTGAGAGAGCAGGGCCACTGTAAAATGAGATCGGTCCAGGATCATCCGTTCCAGGGCTCCGCCCATCGGCTGCAGCAGCAACGGGCGAGGAAGGCTGCCGGGGAAGCTCAGGAGGGCCGCAGGAGTGTTCGCCATGACATGTAGGAGGTCGGTGTGGGTCGCTGGGCGGGGCAAAGGAAGGTGCAGGAGTAGGCAGCCCTGAGGGATGCTATACCATCACAGTGAGAAGGCACGGGGCTCGCATGTGTAGATGTGTGTGCGTGTGTGTGTGTGTGTGTGTGTGTCTCAGTGAGAGAAAGAGATGCACAGAGAACCGGATGCAAAGAGGGCAGAGGAAAAGTACGAGGGTGGGAGGGTGGTTGCAGGGTTTTGGGGGGGGCGTCTGTTTAGGGGATCCGGCCTCAGAATATGGTGGTCTCGTACTTGGTGCTGACGGGACGCCTGCTGGGGTCCCGCTGGTCACAGAGCCAGGTGGTGCTGCCCAGGGACTGCATGTCTGCGTCCATCTCCAGGGGGTCGATCTGCCGGAAGGGGGG